CGAGAAGAACCTCAAGGATATTGAATTCAAATAATTCCTGGGGAGTATTCCAAGAAAATTCTGTGAATAATTTCTAGTGAATCCTGCAGATAGTTCCAAGATAATTCCGAAAAGAATACCGAGAAAATTAAATTTTGAGTGAAATTCCAAAGGGATTGCAGGGAGTACCGATAATTTCTAGCTCATTCCGGGAATAATTCTGGATAATATTGAGAAAGTCAGAGTTGGTTGGAAATGCTAACATGAAGCTTTAGTGTGATGATTTATTAGCTAGAGAATGATCTTTAGAAGAATGTAGGTGGATAGTTCCGTTAGAGTACGGCAGTATGAAAATTGAATAGAAGTTGAAAATGAGCGAAGGGCCATTAAAGCGACAGTTTTCAAGATGACGCACATTTTTGCCTAGCCCGTACGATGTACGCGGGGACTTGAAGTATGTCTCCAAGTCCACAGGCAAAAATGTGCGTCCCTCTTGTTGCTCATAAACTGACTGCGGCTGTGGAATAGTTCTAGCGACGTTTTCATCACTACCTAAAGCCCCACGTCGCGAGAGCATTTCCAGTCGATGGTGTGTTATAATGCAGTTCTTCTTTACCCAACTATTGTGTTGCTCCTCTCGTCATGACCAACGTGATCATCTCAGAGAGAAAGCAGTAGGGTGGTTGTTGCGTGCTGTACCATCATCAGCATTGTTGACGGCTACTCCCGCCTTGAGTTGTTACATTCAAAGTGTTTTTTATGTTACTTCATACGCGAAGTTAACGATTTTGAGAAAGTTCTTCTGAAACTCTAAGAGAATTTCAGTTCCAATGTGTTCTGATTAAAAGTCAAGAAGAGTTCTAAAAATAACTCCAGAGGACTTCTGAGAAGAATTTTAAAACAGCTTATAGAGTTCTAAAAATTTCGAAAAGAACCTCAAGGAATTCTGAGGATGGACATTTTCGCAACTGTACAAAGTTTTAAGACAGCTTTTGGATTCCTTAATTGAAAAGTGGGTATTAGTTTGCCATTGATCCTTGGTCTATTGTTGTCTTACTAAAAATTCGTCTAAAATTCATCTCTAGAATTTCAAGTCATTTGTTACTGTAGTTAGAAAGTTTGTCCTTTATATCATCTTTAAAACATGTTGAATGTTCTGCATCATTTTCTGTCACAGCGACCGGTGGTACTTTGGGACGGTTCATCGGACATCGTCGATGGGATTAAATTGCCAATTTCCATTGGCTGTCGGAGCCAATCGAGCAGTAAATAAAATTAGTTAAATTAAACAGTAGGGAAACAGTGGTGGGTGAACAGCACCATCTCCCACGCACTTTGGAGTACTCCACATCTCCAGATTAAATGCACCATAGAAAAAAAATGCCCCTCCTTAACAAGGTTCCTGTATGTGGAATTGTAGATTAGAATGAAGATTCGCCCTTGGCCTAACTCCCACTATCTGGCAGTGGCATTATGGATAAAATCTGCCTGCAATCATTTCTTATGAATGCAAGAAGCTTGAACCCGGGAGTTAGAAGGTGACAGCTCTGAGACTTGGAAGTATTTTAAGAGTTAAAACAAATTACAGAACAATCGATAGAATCTTGCGGACAAACCCTGTAATTTTCAGTAAAATATAAAAGTATTCAAAATCAGCGTTGGGAAAATATCAAAAAATCAAGTCTCACAAATGCCCAAGGTCACGCTTGATTTTCGTAGACAAAAATCAACAAGCAAACAACTCCAGTTGATTTTTCTAACAAAACTCACCAACTTCAAATCTCACCAAACTGTGGTGAGATTGAGTTTAATGATTTTTGCTTTACACCCGAATGCAACCGAAACTTCCATAACGGCTTGCAGCAGTCCCTTCGCGTCTGCCATCGGTGAAGATTAAAAAGAGATAGCAAACTATGCTTTCTCTTTCTAAGAAAACGATGTGCAATGGAATCATTTTTGTGTCGAGTCAACTCTCAGCTTGATTTTTGCAAGGGGGGGGGGGGAGGTGGCTGTCAAATACGAACAATCGTCGCCTACCTCGCATAACTGGTTCCAAACGTAAACAAGCCATAAGAAACCTACAGCGTATGTTTACGTTTGGAACCAGTTTCATACAAGATGATCAGTAGGCTGATTTGACAGCACATCCCCCCCCCAGGATTTTTGCTCGTTGTGAATAGTCTCGCAATATCAAAGGAGCTTATAAAATCAATATCAAGCATGATATTTTGTTCCAATATCACGCGTGATATTGCAAGTGCATGAGAGCGGAAAAATATCAATTGATTTCTGATTTTGCCAACACTGTTCCAAATGTTGATTTCCAAAAACTATTGAGGAGGATCCCACGTAGTTTTCGAAGGAGAAATTGTTAGAAGAATTTGGAGGGATTTCTGTGAATAAGATTGCAAAATCTAAATTAAATTATTAGGTAATTTTTGAAGAATCCCAAGAGAATAACAAGAATTCAACAAGAAACAGAGTTCTAAGAGTGTTCTGGCGATAATTTCAACCCTAGTGTGAATGATTCATCAAAGAGCTCCAACAAAATTTATTTCAAAAACATTGCTTATTATTAGGAAGAAATTCTTTAAAATACTCCAAGGGGTTTCTAAATTATTCCAAATTTCGAAAGATTTATGCTAGAGTTAAAAGAAAATTTTGAAAAGGATTTCAATGAAATCAAAGTCTCTGAATAGGTTTAAGGGAATTCTAAGACGGATTCCAAACAATTTCTTAGAAGGGGTTTCAAGGAAATTCCAAAAATAATTCAATGGTAATTATTACGCAGAGTGTTTTCTGGTTAATTTTAAAAAATTCTATAATAATTCAGAGCAGAATTCCTAGTTCATTCTGAAATTCATATCATGAGAATTTTTAATAAAATTAAAACCCGGGAAAAGAATAGTTCATTTTCCGTTTTAACAAATATTTGTTTCTTAAGTCACGCATCTTCAATATTTTGTTTTAAGGCCCATGCACTTTACATCTGAAATTGAATCGCAAAAATAATTTTGAAATATTGCTGAGTGATTAAATTCTAAAAACAATAAGGCGGGAATCTGAAGAAAATTATGCAGCAAATAAAGAAAGACATTCATTTGGTAAAAAATCACTCTGTTTTAATGGTTTATTCTGAAATTCTGGTGTGAAAATTTGTTCCTATGGTGTGATTAATTTATTTTTCCCGGTTCTCTCATCGAATTCCCGGATTTTTCACGGTTTTCCCGGTTACTTTTCAAATTCCCGGATATTTCCCGGTATTCCCGGTTTTCCCGGTTCGCTGGCCACCCTGAAGAACGCAAGCATTCCGAAGCTATTTTCACACATGATAAGACCCGCTCCAATACATTATCGATGCAAATATACATCATTGATAATGTACTGAAACTTTCAATTAAGCATTAGTGCAATACTTGATTGACACGTATTTAGTAAGTTTTGAAATGATCGTTTTTAATTAGATATTTTCTATCGAGGACAGAGAAACGAAAAGGTAAATGAACTTAGCTGAGCGTAATTACGCGTAGGTTAAAACAGTCGGCACCTCATGCAACGGATAAGAATTTGAAAATTTTCACTTAATGCACTTTTCAACATCACATCTGTACTTTCAAAATAACACTGTTTAAAAATGAAATTGTAAATTTATAACATTTTCACTAGACCGAAAACGACACAGCAAAACAAAAACACGTTGTTTTCGCAGCGCGGCCTACTACGATTTCTATTACCGGTACTGAACCTTTCAGTACCGAAATACTGGTACATACTCGCAAAAAAGGCTCGGAGCTGGTTACTCATGGAGTAACTTAACCACCATGACAGGCCTGCTTGAAACTAATGATTTAAGCACAAACAATTTATTATTAAATACGGTTTATAGACCATAGTGCACTACTGCAGTGCAACCTTCTTCAAATATTCAACGTCAAAAATTCTAAAACTTATTATCGTCACTACATTCGAACAGATAAAACTGAAGCATTTTTATTTTTATTTTGCAGAAGGCTCCCCCTGCGTTCTGCGAAGCGGCAATACCGGGCAATGTCGCAAGGCATCCGCATGTTCTACGGCCGGCACCGGAGGACTCGTACTGTGCCGATCCAATGGCCGACAGCTGGTTGTCTGCTGCGATGTTGTGCAGCAACAGTGCAATGCCGCCAAGACAAAAAACAATGTTTCCGACCATGTGGTCGGAGTGGTCCACAAGCCAAGTGTGGGAGAGTTCCCCTTCATGGCACTGGTAATGTTCAACAACAGTGAACAATTCTGCGGAGCGTCGATTATCTCCGATAGGTTCCTGCTGACAGCGGCCCATTGTTTCGCCGAAAGCAACGCGACCTCTGTTCGGCTGGGTACTATTGAAGCGGACGATAGTTTGGCCGACACAATCCCGATTGCCAACATTTACCGACATCCTCGGTATGCACGCAGCCGTCGGTTGAACGATATCGCGTTGATCGAACTTCGGACAAGCATCACACTGAACTCGAATGTGCAGCCCGTTTGCCTGTACACGGAGAAGAAGGAGCTTCCGGAAATGCAAGACCTTATTGTGACTGGGTGGGGAAAGGATAATTCAGGTAAATGGCGTGAATAATATTTATCACGAAAGGTATTCAAAAGATCCCGATTGCAGATGACGTTTCCACGGTACTTCTCAAAGGAATTGTTCGACCGGTGCTTCGCACCGAATGTCAGCAGCGTTTTGATGGAATAAGCAAAATAAGAAGACTCAACATAACGGATGGCCATCTGTGTGCCCTGGGAGACCTTAATGAAGAGGGCAAAGCTACTGATGCGTGTCAGGGCGATTCAGGTGGACCACTGGTAATGCATCGCGATGATCAGTACTACCTTGTCGGAGTGGTATCGTCCGGGGTTGGATGTGGTGGCGCAAATCTCGCTGGTCTTTACACATGGGTTGCCAAATATGTTGACTGGGTCATCGAGCAGGGAGTGTGGCGTAATGTTCCCTAATTTTCCACAAATATGTCTGTCTGATCCATTCTGTCAATAAATATGTGCTTTATTAATAAATAAATGTTTCCCTAATACTAAAACTGTTGTAGAGAGTATCTAGTTCAGATGGCAGTACTGCTAGCATTATCACTGTCTTCATCATCTTCATCGTCATCGCCTTCCTCCTCACCGTTATCGTCGATCACCTCCATATCATCCCGGTACTTGGGGATGTACAAATTGGCACAAGTGTGCTCCCAGATGTTCTTCGGATACTTCTTCAAGTTGTACCACCGATCTTCGGTTACGTCGTAGCACTCTACGCTAGCCGCCGTATGGCGGAAGATATCATCCGAACAGAACCCTCCGATGATGTAGATCTTCTCCTGGACAGCCACGATTCCGGCATGGTACTTCGGAGTCGGAATCCGCGTCACTTGATGCCATGCAGGGCTCTTGCTGAACAAATCGTAACAATCGATACTTTCGGCCAATACACGTTGCCCGTTAACTTCATACCATCCTCCACAGACGTACAGCTTCCGATTGATCGTGAACATGACATGGTCCGCTCGGGGGTGCAACATATTCGGAAGCTTCTCCCACTTCTCGTTGAAACTATAGTAGCTCCACAAGCTGTTCAACGCTCCTCCGTACAGATCCAAGCCGCCTGAAATGTACAACGTAGCCCCGAAGGCAGCGCCAGCATGTTGCGTCCGATACTCCGGCAAGGATTCAATATAAGTCCACTTATCCGCCACGGGGTCGTACTGTTCGCAAGTCGACACCGATCTATCTCCATCATCATCCATTTCGCTGTTCCCTCCGACGGCGATCAAACTATGACCCACTACGTTCAACGAAAACCTACATCGATCTTGCTGCAGTGGAGCGATCGTTTCCCATTTGTTTTTGATCGGACAGAACCGGAATCCGAACGGGTGGATGTACTCCTCCAGCGAAATATCATAACAACCTCCGATCACATACAAATGGTTGTTCAGCACCACCACTCCGAAATTGCTCTGTTTAATGTGCGGAATCGTCGTCAGGTAGCGCCACTTTCCGTTCAGTCTCACGTCCTTCCGTTTCGGTCGATCCACGAATCGAATCGTCACAGCATCTCCCCTAGTAGTTGCACTGCCACTCTCCGAGCCGGAATGGTTTCTGTTTAGCTTTAGCCTGCCCACCGTCGACGAAGAGGACGATGACGACAACGAGGAGGACGATGAGGATGACGACGGCTGAGACTGGCCGCCATCGCCCGGAAAGCAATAGGTAATCTCATTAGTAATTCCCGACAGGTCGAAGCCACCGATTTTGATGACCGCCAGCTCCAATCCACGGTAGTTTTGAATCTTGTTCAGCGGGGATATCTTGTACTTGATGCACTGCTGTTCGCCAATCTTCATGATGAAGTCATACAGTTCGTATCTGGAATGGGAATTTTCGATATTTAAAAAAGGACTGAATTTGTCAAAACTCTCATACCTATCGATCCACCGAAACTGGAACTCCTCCGAACAGAGCAGGTTGTACAGCTCCTGCAGCGAAATGTCCATGAACCGGATGTTGTTCCGTATCAACTGTCGATAGTTGGCTGCAGTCACATTCGTCATCGACGATGATGTCGGTTCATCACAGTTTGCTTGAATCCACCGCAGTAGTATCCCCAGCACTTCAATCTCCGTACAGGTCACCGGATAGTCTCCGGCCAAGATCAGTTCTATTTGCCTCTCGCTAAGCCGAAAGAATTCCGGCGATTTGGATATCACATTCAAGTGGTGGCAGATGAAGCGGTACACCTTGTGATTCAGCCGTTTCAGCGAGTACATTTCCGAGATGATCAACACGTCGATGTAGTTGTCCAGATCCAGCTGCTGGTCCAGGTAGTTTAGGCAAGCTTCCACAACGGATTCCAGCTGGATGTAGCTGGCCGCCGATAGAACCTCCTGGATGTTGGCCAGATTCAGGGCCAGTTTGGATGTGTAGATGTAGTCCAATAGCAGTTCGATTCCCAGTGGGGAAATGTGGCGCAGGTTAATTTCACTGAGGCGAGATTCGCGAGTATGGTCCGAGAACATGGCTCTGAAGTATTCGCTGCACGCGGACAGGACGGCACGATGGGCCTGTGGGGGAAATGGATTGAACGAGCTAAGTATGATAACGGTTTCTGATTGCATAAAAGAAAAACACCTTCAACTTTTGATGGTGCGAAAAATGTAACCATGACTCCAAACAGAAAGAAGCAGAGAGTGATTCAAACCGCCCAAACGGAGATCATGTATCATAATGACCAATTTAAGCCATTTAACAACAATGCAAACAATGAGGAATGGAACAATTTGGGCACCATGTCGACACGAGAGCACCACAAACAGAGAAGAAAATTATGCAATTCTAATTTATTTTGATGCTGCGCTCGATGCACCGTCCACAGCTCATCAGAAACCTCCAAATTAATTAGCTGCGCTGCACTGGTTTCGTTGTGGTTGAGAAATTATGATACTCACCCGAAAAACCTTCCCATCGGTTCGCAGTGTCACGTCCACCAGCACTCCCTTCAGGCGCAGCTCGTTCAGGCCTTTCAGTATCGTTCCGGTATGGCTAAAGGATTCGAACACTATACCGTTGAGTTCCTTGCCCTCAGCACCGGCCGCCAGCGTCGCCGGTGGGTTGATCTGAGGAATCTTAATCTCGGTGGTAGTCATTCTGAGAAAAACTCTGCCTAATCTAATAGTTCCACGCACACGCACCGATTCCACTTCACACGGTGACCCGGTTGCTGTTGATCCGAGACAAACAGAGCGCAGTCAAGGGGGACAACAGTTCAACAACAACGGCAGCAGTGAGAATGATGACGGTGACGGCGACGACGGTTTGAAGACTTCCCACGCCAAACTGCGACGACGGTGAAGCCGTTCGACATTGTGCAACCCCGCGACGATGCCGCGACTTGCTACTCGCGGCAGCTGTTATGGGCAACCATTACCATCATGAATGGAACAGCAAACATACATCGGAGCACGTGGGGGGAGGGTACAGCGAACACTATTAGTGCGTCGTGCGTTGCTGAGTACCACCGTGTACCGTACTGGGGTGGGTTGATTGAGTTTGTAGAGCTGGAATGAAGGTGGGAAAGGCGTATTGTTAACATGAAACAAATTTAAGGTCGACGAATGGTTAATGACAATTGGGGTGCTTTGTTCTGTAAAATGTATTTTATTTCTAAAAGGTCACCCTCCCCCGATGGTTTCATATCCCTAAAATATGAGCCTGTGCAAAAATATGTTAAAGACCTGGGTACTGCGGAGTATACTCGCTGTATTCATAGTCTGGCGGATAGAACTTCGATCTATCAAAAAGCGGAAATAATTCAATATATTTTAGACCGACAATTGAAAAGGTACTATCAACTTTTATAAACAAAACGTTGGTTATTCTTTCCTCACAAATCGAACGCAAATTACCAGCATCATCGGATAGGGGAAACTTTCCTCAACCCAAAGTTGGTGTTAATTTGCGTAGGCGAGCCTCGACTCACGAGAAAAGGGTTTCCGAAGTTTTGTACGCAATAGCTGATGTGCTCTTTTCTGTTGTTGATCGTGATTTACTCGATTGCTTCCGCTAGTTGACAGCTCAATTGGTTTTCGAGGATATAGCGACTATTCTGCGGAGTCGTTTGATTTCATTTTGCAAGCCAATGAAAAACTGCTTAAAATTTTCTTAAGTTTAAAATTGTTTTGCTCGTTCTCAGTTGAATCCCGCAAAAAGCTCTTGGCCAGGAGGGCTCGAGCCCCCATGACTCTATCATGAAAAGTCTGCTGAGTCATAAAAACTATGCTGTTTTTTTTTGCTTTCAACACTGAGCCTGCTGGTTTTTGTCCTTGAGCTTAAAATTAAGAATGTGTTATGAAAAATAATGGATCATTTTTATGAAATTACAATGCTTGACGATGGATAAGAACAGTAACTGCATTTGTTGCTTCTGAATTGACGAGTGCACGGGTGAACTTTTGTTCATCTACTGAAAAAAAAAGTGACACAACAGCGGGGCCCTGTTTACTAAAAATGAACACATGGATAATGCTCGCGTAACATTTGAAAAGGGCCTATCAACTTTTGTAAAAAACTTGCTAGGTCCTTTTCACCATAACCGAAGTACGCCCACGCAAACCAAGAGCACTTATCGGGAAGGAGGAAAATTTCCCTATCCGAAGGTGTTGTAAGTTTGCGTGGGTTTATTCGGTTCGCGCGAAGAGGACTTATCAAGTTTTTTGTACAAAAGTTGATAGGCCCGTTTCAAATGTTACGTGAGTATTATTCATGTGTTCATTTTTAGTAAACAGGGCCCCGCTGTTGTGTCACGTTTTGTCGAGTGAGTGAACTCAAATCCATCCGTGCACTCGTCTATGTTTGGCTCCCGTTTGACAGTTCACACTGGCTCCCAAGTGACAAGCACAGTGAGTCCGCAGTATGCAGGTAAAGACCTAAGAGGAAAAGGAGGCAACTGGCTTCTTTATGTCTGTGACATGTTCTTCTCTCGCGAAACGACCGTGCAAAAACTATTTCATTAATATGGGCGACGCAGTCGACTGGCAAAATATAAGAAAATAGATTCCCTGTTGTAAAAATTCTCGCGTTCACCCGACTAATCAGACGCTGGTTCGCGTTTGACAGAAAATGGGCTCAAAAATGGCCCCCCTATTGTCTACTCTTCCTGTTAGGTAAAGATTGATGCAGGGTTTTAAGGTTGCCAAATATACTTTATTAACAATATAGATCACAGAAAGTTCAAGGTTAGGCACACAACCTTAATTGCCAGCATCAGTGGCATCGACGTTTCGGGCATAGGAACCCTGCCCAAGTAACCAAAAGTGCCGCATTCAACGATTAAAATCACTTCCAAGTTCCGTAAAGTTCAAATAAAGTTCCGACCGAACCTTCAAGTTCCATAAAGTTCAAATAAAGTTCCGACAGAACTTTCAAGTTCCATAAAATTCGAATAAAGTCCCGACAGAACTTTCAAGTTCCATAAAGTTCAAATAAAATTCCGACAGAACTTTTAAGTTCCATAAAGTTCGAATAAAATCCCGACAGAACTTTCAAGTTCCATAAAGTTCGAATAAAGTCCCGACAGAACTTTCAAGTTCCATAAAGTTCAAATAAAGTTCCGACAGAACATTCAAGTTCCATAAAGTTCGAATGAAGTCCCGACAGAACTTTCAAGTTCCATAAAATTAAAATAAAGTTCCGACAGAACTTTCAAGTTCCATAAAATTCAAGTAAAGTTCCGACAGAACTTTCAAGCCACATGAAGCAATCCGCACAAGTCTTTATTAGTAACAAAATTTAATGTACGTAATTATGAAATGATCAGTGGCCTGAATAAATCATAATTCTTATATTTATGCAGTGCATCAACATTCTATTCAAACATAAAAAAAATAATTAAAAACTTATGTCCTGGATTCGAACCCGTGTAGTATTCGGCATGCGATCTGCGAACGCTAACCACTGCGCCACAAATGCGTTGGAATAGTAGGCGGGCAAACATCAATTTAAAATTCATCAAGGTGTTGTGTTTCGTATTCAAGTCAGTCAGATGGCACTGAAAACTCCAACAGTAGGCGGGACAACAGTTCACTTTATTATATCTCAGATGACGCAGCGGTTCGTGCTGGGGCTCGCACGCTGAAAGACTGGGTTTAATTCTTCAAACAGCTCCAATTCTACTACTAATCCTGATAAATCACAATACACATTAATAATACCTGCCTTTAGAAATAACTTTCATAAAAGTGCGAACTAAACATAGAATTGTGGTGTAGAGGACAAAAACCTTTTTGATTTTATTTTCTGAAAGTTCAGTTCAAGTTCCGCCAGAAGCCAGAATTATGATATCGGAACTTTCAAGTTCTTATAACGACTTAAATATGAGGCTGCTTAGAATTCTATAGACCACCACCAACCAAGCTGCTTAAGCCACAAATAGCCTTTTATCAGAACTTTTGGTTACTTGGGTGGTGTTATTGGTAGGATTCGTGACGAGAAACTTGGTATCGGTATGTTGCGAACCTTGTCTAGAAGGGCAGATGACATGAAACCCGACTCCAAAGGAAGCGGAAAGGAAGTCGACTCAAGTCTTGGGTCTGGTTCACACCGACTTGTGTGGACCAATGCGGACAACGACGCCCTGTGGTAAACGGTTCTTGATGACGATGATAGATGACTTTAGTCGCCTTACGGTCGTCTATTTGCTCGAGAAGAAGTCGGAAACGCCGGAGAAGGTAAAGGTTCGGTACGTGACAAATTTGTTCAACCGAAAGCCGCGTATTATTCGCTCAGACGGTGGAGGCGAGTATGCGAACAAGGAGTTAAATAATTTCTTCACACATGAGGGAATTAAGGCACAGTACACCACAGCGGTGTGCAGCAGAATGGTGTAGCTGAGCGGAAGAACCGGTCGCAACAAGAAATGACGACGACGATGCTCCTTGATGCGGGTTTGGATAAGCGGTTCTGGGGCGAGGCCGTACTAACGGCTGCTTATTTGTAGAACCGACTTCCATTACGATCGGTTGATGAGACTCCGTATGAACAGTGGTATCGGAGGCGCGCTACCGAGCCGTTTGTCGGATTATGTGGTAGGTGTTGTGACACAGAAGGTGCAGGAACCAGCGACGTACAAGCAAGCAGTGTCCAGTCCGGATCGATTTTCGTGGAAGGAAGCGAATCAAATGAAGTCGTCCGCTACAAAGCAAGGATCGTCGCGCAGGGATTCACTCAGTGCTAAGGCGTCGATTACGATGAAATGTTCACCCCTGTGACCAAATATGCTACACTCAGAGTCCTGTTGTCCCTGGCTGGAAAGAGAGCAATGGCGTTGAAGCACTTGGATGTCCGCACCGCGTATCTCTATGGAGAAATCGAAGAATAAATCTATATGCGTCAACCACCTGGCTACGAGGTTCACGGAAAGGAGGAGATTGTTTGCCAACTTCGTAGGAGCATATACGGACTGAAACAGTCAGCTCGATGTTGGAACCGGAAGCTAACCGGTGTCCTGACACAAATGGGTTTCCAAGCAAGTTGCGCGGGTCCGTGTCTGTTCATGGCAACCAGAAACGATAAGAAAATCTACCTAATCGTTTACGTGGATGATTTTCTGATCGGATGTGAGAGCGAGGATGAAATCGATCGTGTTCAGAAGCAGCTGAGTCAGCATTTCGAAATAGTTATTATCGGCGATGTGAATGGCGTGTTCAGTGTGAGTTTTACCAACTACATTGAACAACTGGTTGCCAGAACAAGTCTTAGCGAAGCAAAGACAGCAAGAACGCCCATGGATCAGGGCTGAAGGATGAGGTTGACAGCAAACCATTCGAAGAAGGTACGAAGTACAGAAGCGTGGTAGGTGCACTACTATATGTTGCGGTGTGGGCACGCCCGGACAAAGCGACAAGTGTCGGGATTCTTGGTCGGAAATTCAGTGCTCCCGGCTGATTGGACCGCTGCGAAGCGCTGAACGAAACGATGAACTGGAAACTGCAGTTTGGAGGCAAAAAGGCTAAATATTTGGTGGTATTTTCGGATTCGGACTGGGCAGGAGACAAAAGCACAAAGAAATCGACCACAGGATACGTTGTGTTCTACGGAGTATGAACAGTATGCTGGGTGAGTCGTCGGCAGTCTTGTGTGACGCTTTCGACGATGGAAGCTGAGTATGTTGCTCTGGCTGAAACGTGTTAGAAAGTTATGTGGCTGAAGTGACTACTCGAAGACTTTGGTGAAAAACAGGTGAAAGCAACAGTGATCAACGAAGACAATCAGGGCTGTTTGAGTTTCGCACGTTCGGAAAGATCAAGCAAGCGATCAAAGCACATTGAAGCCAAGCACCATTTTGTCAAGGATCTATGCGACATAGGGGAAGTAGTGCTACAGCACTGCCCTACGGACCAGATGTCAGCAGATATCCTTACGAAGCCGTTAGGTTTTGTAATGCATCGACAGTTTGCGGACCATTTTGGTATGGTGAGGTCTAACCATTGAGGAGGAGTGAAGGTATTTACATTGTTTTACTCCTCACCATACATAAACTTTTATGGCACTTATATGTGCA